GGCTGGGGCTGGGGCCGCTAGCAGAGGTGGCGGCTGAGAGCAGCAGCAGGAGGAGGAGGGGGCGGTGGCCACCGAGGCCAGACCGGCGCATCCTGTCGGGTGCAGAGTCCGGCTCCGGGAGGGCAGCGTGTCCAGTGGGTCCGGATCGGCCTGGCCCCAGCCCCGCCCCCTCCCCCGCCCCAGCCGGAGGCCGACTCACTTTCTCCACCGTGCAAGCCTGGGGCTGTGAAACTTCCCGCCAATCAGATCCCTGCGCTGCCAGAGCTCTGAGAGAGGCCAATCGGTTCGCGACAGGGGAGGGGCTACACGGACAGGTGCCGGGCAGGGAGTTCTCCTGGAGGTGGGAGGATTTCAGAAATCAGGTACTGACGGCGAAAGAATCTCTCTTGAGCCGGAGGGACAAAAGTGGTTGCCACCGAGATGGATGCGCAGGGCGGTCCAGGTCTTCTAAGCTGGGCTTAGACTAGTAGGCCTCACCCCTCGCTCAGCGCTGGGGGATTCTGTTAGAATGTAGCTGTCTGGCTAACGGAACTGATAGCTCCCCAGGTTCCTATCTACCTAGCAAGAGACCAGACTCTGCTGATGCTCCAAATGTGGTGGCACTCCCCAGGGTGAGGCAGGGAGATCCTGAGTTCCAGGCCAGCCTGAGCTACATACTGAGCCCGCCCTTCCTCCTCGGCCACCCCAAATCTCGAAGAAACAAGAATTTAGTATTGGAGTACCAATCTCACATTCAACCCAGGTGTCCTCTCCGTCACCCACATCAAGCCTTCCAGACAGAGGGCCCTTTCCCAAGGCCCTGTCCCTTGTTCCAGCCTCACCATCTGCAAAGACTTGTCCCTCCCAAGTTGTGCCCTCTTGTGAATCCAGGCTACGCCCTTGACCACACAGCTCCCTGAGGACTCCCAGCTCTACCCCTCCCACACCCCTCTCTGCCTTAGTCCCTAGGAGACACCAGACCCCTTCTCTGCCTCACTCCTTAGAGTCTCTCCCAAACACCCTCACAAGCCCAGGACAATAGCCTTTGTTTTTGGAGACCTCCAATCCCCTCCTTTCCGGTGAGGAGACAGTAAGCCCACCCACTCACTTTAGTGGGTTCCAGCCCCCCCCCTTACAACCTCCAAACTCAGTGGATCTCAAGCCCAGCTTCTCTTCCCTAGGAACGCCACTTCCAGCCTGGCATGGTAGTGGAAGCTCTGAATGCCGGCACTTGGAGAAGCCCCAGGCCAGCCGGGTGTAATAGCGAATCGAGCCATCTAGAGCCGCATAGCAAGAGCCTGTTTCCAAACGAACCAACCTCAAGTTCCCACTCTTAGCCCCATGAACCCCTAGAGCTTCAGCCTGCCCCCCAAGTTGCCTCTTTTGCTTGAGCTCCAGGCAGAGAGAAAGGGGGTACGGTTTCCCTTGGAATCCAAACCCCACTCTTCCTGAGTTGCTCCACTTCTGGGTTTGAAGCCTCATCTCTCAACGGTTCCACTGTTTTTCCTCCAGTTTGCTTGGAACTGGCCTTGGGTGCCTGCTCCCCCTTAATTGACCTCCCATGTTTGAGAATTGCAGGTGTGTGACTACCATTCACCTGCCAGCTTGTGGACTAAATAAAGCATTAGCCCTGCCCCCCAGGCAAACTGGGGTTCCAGCCACAGAAGGTAATCAGGCCTCAGGCCGGGCTGCACCAGCCTCCTCAGACTGAGAACAGGGAATGTTCCAGATTCATGCCATCCTCTATTCCCATTCTTTCAATGGAAGGTACACAGGACACACACCTCACCCCTCCCTGCAGTGAGCCACATGGGCTGACTCACACGGCCACCTTCTTACCACTACTGCCACCTACAGCAACACATGCCTCCATCCCGTGCTAACACCTAGACATCAGAGCCCACCCACTGCCCAGGGGCATCCAGGCCCAGGAGCAGTAATGTTGGCGGTCAGGACTCATCCACGGCTATTCGTGGGCTGACCCAGTGCAATGATGGAGTGCCAGCTTTGCCCATTAACTGTGCTCCATGCTTCTGTCATTGTGTGCCACCCCCAGGTCCCTGCTCACGTGGCCCTCTGGATCACCATGTCCCTCACCTGTTTTTCCCCTCCCCATATCCTACCCTGTGGCTGGAGCATTTGCTGGGGGCGCTGCCGAAATTTCTCCCTTCTGCCCAGGATCCAGGGCATCGTCAATGCTCGTTGCTAGGCAACAGCCTCTGGCTCACCACTGCAACTTCCGGGGATGGCAGGGATGGTACTGGCTTCCCTTCCCCTCCCCCCCGAATTTGGAGTCTCCAGTTCCCATTTCTTATATTTATATCCTATTTATGTTATTTTGGGGATCCTAGTAGGATCTCAACACTTCAGAAACCCTCTAGAGCTCTGGACCATAGCATTCTAGAAGATTCTCCTCATTGTTCTCTCCTTTGTATACTATTTCATTCCTAGTATTGAAAATACACTTCAATATGACAATATGCTCTGTTTCTTCTAGAATGTGAGCATTCCAGCGATACAAGAGTTTTCCAGCATGGAAAAAAATGGCCTCAGTGTTCTAGACCTCTGTTCATTACAAAGCACCTTTATATTTTAGATTTTCTGCCATTCTAGTTTCTATATACTCTTTAGAATTCCTACCATTCACATATTCCCCAGAACATAGTGTCCTGGCATGTAAAAAAAAAATCCTGAGTTTGGGGGTCTGTGGGGCATTCCAGAACATCCTGGTTTTAGAGGCATCCACCTTTTAATACTCCCATTTGTGTCCTGGATGCTCTGGCAATCCAGAGGACTCTATGCCACTTTGGGTTGTTTTTGGAGGGATGGAGTAAGACAAGAATCTCATGTAATCTAGTCTGGCTTCAAACTCATGTAGTGAAGGATGACCTTGAACTCCTGATCTTCCTGCCTTAGCCTCAGGAGTGCTAGATTCTAGGCATGAGCACTGGGTTGAGCCCTTGACTTCTGCCTAGGTTTTTTGTTTTTTCTTTTTCTTTTCTCTCTTTCTTTTCTTTTTTTTAAAAAGAGGTCTCATACTATGTAACTTTGGCTAGCCTGAAACTTGCCATGTAAACTGGGCTGGCCTTGTACTCAGAGAGATCCACCTGCCTCTGCCTCCTGAGTGCTGAGCCTAAAGGCATACCCCACCTTGTCAGACAGTAGTACTCTTGTGACCCCCTTTCACTTTGCCCACGTGGGACTGACCTTGCTTCCTAGCTTCTGAGGGCCCATGGCCCAGGTTAGGACTGGAAACCCTTCGTCATACTGACTACAGGGACTGGTGCAGGAATGGTGCCTGACTCAATTCAAACCCGGGAAAATCAATCCTGTGATTTCTTTTTGTTTGTAACAAAGTTTCTCTGTGGCACCAAGGCTGACCTTTCTCCCCTCCCCCCTCTCTCTCTGTCTCTCTGTCTCTCTGTCTCTCTCTGTCTCTCTGTCTCTCTCTCTCTCTCTCTCTCTCTCTCTCTCTCTCTCTCTATATATATATATATATATATATATATATATATATATATATATACAGCCCTGGCTGTCCTGAAACTTGCTCTGTAGACCAGGCTGGCCTTGAACTCACAGAGATCCGCCTGCCTCTGCCTCCTGAGTGCTGGAATTAAAGGTGTGCACCACCACCATCCTGCCAGACTGGACTCATTTTTGTGTTAGTTTTTTGTCTCATGGTATGAAAAATACCTGGCAAAAACTGCGTACAGGAGGATTTTTTGGCTTGCATCAAGAGTACAGTCCATTGTGGCGGGAAGTCTCGGTCACATTGTATATACAATCAAGAGGCGGAGAGCAATGGACGTTGTGCTCAGCTCACCCTCCTTTTCATGCGGTGGGGGACACCAGCCCATGGAATTCGGGGTGGATCTTCCCATTTTAGTAAACCCAACCTAGACCATCCTTTGGAATGCACAGAGGCTGACCTAAGCTAGGTAAGTCCTCTCAAGTGTGAGGTTTGTCTCCTAGGGGGTCCCAGATCCTGTCAAGTTGGCGGTATTAACCATCACAATTGAGAACCTCCTGTCTTAGCCTCTAGAGTGCTGGTGTTACAGCTGGGTCACCAGTTAGCTCAGTCCTGTGATTTATTGGGGGGGGGGCTACCAGAAGGGACTCAAGGACAGTAAGGAGTCTTCTGGAATCACCTTGACTGCAGACGAAGTATCACAGAAGGAAAGAGGCAAGAGGTAGAAAGTCATTCTAACCCCTTTGAACCCCTGGATCCAGCCCGAAGCCAGAGGGTAATCCAATACATTCTTGGTTGTTTTTGTTGTTGTTTGTTTGTTTTTGTTTTTCTAGGCAGGGTCTCTCTACATATCCCTAGCTGTCCTGGAATTCACTATGTAGACCACGATGGCCTCAAACTCAGAGATCTGCTGTGGAAGTATCCTTCTGCACACTGTGAAGATGTGTTGCTCTCATTGTTAATAAAGAACTGACTGGCCAATAGTTAGGCGGGATGTTGGGGGCACAGAGAATGCTGGGAAGAAGGAGGTGGAGTCAGAGGAATCAAGAGCCAGAGGCAGAAGAAGCAACATGGGAAATTCATAGATGAGGTAAAGGAGCCTCAGGGCAGCACATAAATTGATAGAAATGGGTTAATTTAAATTGTAAGAGGTGGCTGGAGGGACTGGGGATTTAGCTCAGTGGTAGAGTGCTTGCCTAGCAAGTGCAAGGCACTGGGTTCGGTCCTCAGCTCTGAAGAAAAAAAAAAAAAAGGTGGCCAGAGACAAGCCTAAGCTATTAGCTGAGCTCTTACAATTAATAAGTCTCTGTGTGGTTATTTAGAGAGTGGCTTCTGGGACGGAGCTGCTTGGTGGTCTAGATGGAAAACTCCACCTACAGAGATCCACCTGCCTCTGCCTCTTCAGTACTGTGATTAAGGGGTGCTCCATCTCACCTGTAGCAATATTTCTGAGTTTAAAAGCTTAGAATGTAATTGGTCCCTACATCTTCATCTCTTCCTGGGGGGGCCCCTTCCCCCCTAAAAAAAAAACCCAAGAATACAAACAATGTTGGCAGTAAGGGTTTTATTAGGGAGGTGACTTTGGCTTTTAGGAAAGGAAGGCTAAGGGACCTCAGTGACTCCAAGGAGGCCCTGGCCCTAAGTCCCCTGGGGCCAGTCCATGGGAAGGCACTGTGGCAGTTAGGTTCAAAAGGAAGTTTCGTTAAGAGTGTTCTTAGGAGGTGTCAGGGGAGTCCCAAGACCTGTGGAGGGTCGAGGGGCCGGGGTCGGTGGTCGCCGAGGCTCTGGTGCACCCCTCACCAGCTCCTGACACCGGTCCACAAAGCTTCCTGCCCCGCGGCGCCGGACCTCTGCCTGCGGTGGGCTGGGGCTCCCTCTATGGCCGGACAGGGACGTGTTGCTGGAGGCTGAGTGCAGGCTGAGAAGGAAGGAAACTCAGTGTCCTCCTGTGTCACCATGCTGTTTCCATTGCACAGAGAGGGCAGTGGAGTTACAGCTACCTGGTAAGAGAGGCCCTGGGTGAGGGGCTGGGGAAAGCGCCTCGCGAGGAAGCCAAGGGGGCCAGTTCGCACTGCTCCAGCTGGCCCATTAACTCTTCTTCCGTCAAGCCACCTGCTGGGGTGGCAAAGAAGCAGGGTCAGGGGTCAGAGGGGGGCCACAGGCCAAGAGCAACTGGAGGTAGGGGAGAAGAAAGCAGTGTAGAGATGGATGGGCTAGGGTCAGAGGCTAAGAGAGAGCGAGAGAGCGGGAAAGCAACGCTAAGAAAGGACCCAAAGGGGCTGGCAGTGGGACCAGAGGGCAGGGGCCTGGGAAGGGAAACCATGGCGAGGGTGGGGTCTGGGACAGGACTGAAGTGGGGCAGGGAGTACCAGGGGCTTGGCCCAGGCCATCCATGGCGGTAGTCAGGTCCCACATGGCCAGGCTGCCGTTGGCCTGGCCGGTGAGCAGGTAGCGTCGGGGCCTGGAGCCCAGCCGCCTCGAACCCTCACACTCCAGCACGGTGAAGGCAGTTGTGGGTGAGCCATCCACTGAGCGCACGGAACACACCCTGTAGGATGGAAGGGGTCAGGAGTCATCAGCCTGGTCCCTCTCTGTCTCCCTGGTCCTTACTGTCTCCACCTCTGAGCATTCAGGTCCTGCCCTGAGCCTACACTGCCTACCCCAATCCTTATCCATTGCCATCATTGTTTGTTTTGAGACAGGGTCTCATGTAGCCCAGGCTGGCCTGCAACTCAATAGGTAGTTGAGGATGACTTGGAACTTCTGATCCTTCTGCCTCCACTTCCTGAGTGCTGGGGTTACAGACATGTACCGTGTCCTGTTTATTTAGTGCTGGAGGTCAAACCCAAGGCTTCACGCATGCTAGACACGCACTTCTACTGACCCACTCTACCGACCAGGCTGCATCCCCAGCCCCTTTGATCTGGTTTCGCTCCAGCGTCTCTGATATTCTGCCCCTACCCACAGTCCTGTATCCCTGGGGCCTCAGGACCCTTCCTACATCCCATGCTTACCTCATCAGTTGTATCTCCCCCCTCCCACAGGTCACCCAGCATCTCTCAGATCACTGACTCATCCTGTCTCCCACCAGGCACTTGACCCAATGTCATCCCTGGCTTTTGACCTCTTGTCCATCCCCCTGCACAGGCATAGCTTCCCATGCACTCAGAAAAAGGCCTCGGCTGCCCTACACAAGGACCAGGCCCGTTACCCTGTGTGGTTCTCCCCAGCCTTGGCACATGTTCCGTTCTCAGTAGGCATTTCTCTCCCTTCCTGCTTTCTTCTGTGCATTCCTACTCAGCTTCAGGTTTCTCTGAAGAGGCCACACCCTGAGCAACACTCCCAGGCCTCCTTTTCAGGTCACCTGATATGGACTCCTATAGCCTCCTGTGTGCCCATCCACTACTCACCCTCTGTATGCAACCCAACCCACAACCCTTTGCCGGCACCCAGCTCATCCCGATCCTCTGCCGGCACCCATCCCGTACGGATCCTCTGCCGGCACCCAGCCCGTACGGATCCTCTGCCGGCACCCAGCCCGTCCCGATCCTCTGCCGGCACCCAGCCCGTCCCGATCCTCTGCCGGCACCCAGTCCGTCCCGATCCTCTGCCGGCACCCATGCCATCCCGATCCTCTGCCGGCACCCAGCCCGTCCTGATCCTCTGCCGGCACCCATGCCATCCCGATCCTCTGCCGGCACCCAGCCCATCCCGATCCTCTGCCGGCACCCAGTCCATCCCGATCCTCTGCCGGCACCCAGCCCATCCCGATCCTCTGCCGGCACCCAGCCCATCTCGATCCTCTGCCGGCACCCATCCCATCCGGATCCTCTGCCGGCACCCATCCCATCCCGATCCTCGGCCGGCACCGATCCTCTGCCGGCACCCATCCCGTCCCGATCCTCTGCCGGCACCCATCCCGTCCCGATCCTCTGCCAGCACCCATCCCATCTGGATCCTCTGCCGGCACCCATCCCGTCCCGATCCTCTGCCGGCACCCATCCCGTCCCGATCCTCTGCCCAGCACCCCATCCCACCTTGACACTTTGCCTGCAGCCCCTTCCCACCAGACTGCCTGGGCTGTCTAAGGTCCAACACAGTGACCTGGGGTTTCTCCAGTGTCACTCTCACACACATAACCCAGAGGCCCACTCACCCTGTGGCCTCTGCCCTTTCAGAACCCCTGAGACCTTCTCCCTGGTCCTGCCTCATTTGGTGGGGCAGTACTCACCGCTGCCCAGTGGAGGAGAGCCGCACAAAGAGCTGGCTGGCATTTGGCACCACCTTCTGGATGAACACCTGCTGGTCATCCCGCTCACCATAGGGACCTGGGTGGGCAGGGGAGGGGTAAGGGCCACAGGGTCCACAGGGCCTTCACACCCCACGGCACTAGCCTTTCTTTCTCCATTGCTGAGCCAACTCCCAGACCTAGATCCTGCTCCCAGGCTACTGCAGTAGGCCAGAGGCAGGCAGAACTACGGGCTTGCAAGGATCAACAGCATTCGGGCCGGGCGGGAGATGGTGAGCGGGAATCAATGGCCAGACAGGGTGGGATTGGCTGGGAGTACAGAGGTCAACGGCAGGTCAGGGGGAGACAAAATGAAAGTGAACAAGGGTTAGTAATTAGTGCAGCTGGAGGGCTACAGAGCAGCTAAACGGGCAGGCAGAGGTCTAAGGAGCCACCGGGATCCCGCGCGGCTCAGGCAGGTCTGTGGGAAGGAGTCAAGGGCCGGGGATTAGCAGGCACCAATGTCATTGCCAGCACTGCAGCCTCCGTGACCGTCGGCAGACTCCAGCGCCAGGATCTTGAAGGACGCTAGCGGAGTGGACCCGGGCTGGGTGGAGATCATGCCTCGAAAGCGGGTCACAGACCACGTCCGTACATGGTTGTTGTCGGCACAGACTAAAGAGCAGAGAGACAGCCGAAGGTCAGGCCTGTCCATGGTACCAGCACAGATCGACCCTCCTGACCCCTCAGCCTGAGCCCTTTTGGAGGTATCAGGGCCCAGCTGCTGAGTCCTCCCCTCCAGGGATTCTCTATGCTGGAGTTCCAGATGCCCAGAGATCCCATCAGCTCTGCCTCGGCAGTGGTTTGAGTCTGACCATGTTACCCTGTCCACAGACCCACCTGGGTCCTTTTACCTGGGTCCCTACAGCCACATCCCACGCTCAGCCAAAGCAAGGACATCAACACTGGCCACGCCCCTCCTCCCACTCTCCCCACTGGTCCACTGGAACGCTTGTCCCTGGTGATCTGCACCTGTAGCCCTTCATTTCCTCTCTAAGGCCCTTGGCCTCAGACAGGCTTGTCCTGCATCAGCCCTCAATGACCCTCACACACTTGAAAACGAAATGTGAAGGAGAGGTGTGGTGGTACACACCTGTAACCCCAGTGTTTGGAAGGCTGGATCCAAAGGATCCTAAATTCAAGGCTAGACTGGGCTATGTAGCAAGATCTTATCTCAGCCAAAACTCTAAGGGCTGGGGTGATGGTTCAGTTGGCAAAGTGTTTGCCATGTGAGTATAAGGGTCTGAGTATGGAGAGGTGTGCTTGAAAGGTGCTGGAAAGGTGGCGATGAGCAGTCCCTGGGGCTCTCCAGCCAGCCACCCTGGCATATGGGCAATCCCCAGATCCCGTAAGAGTCTTCAAAAACAAGATGGAGGGGCTGGAGAGATGGCTCAGTGGTTAAGAGCACTGGCTGCTCTTCCAGAGGGCCCGGGTTCAATCCCAGCGCCCACACAGAGGCTCACAGCTATCTATAACCCCAGGATCGGACACACTCACACAGGCATATGTGCAGGCAAAACACCAATGCACATAAAATTAAAAACAAAACAAACAAACAAACAAACAACCCAAGATGAAGGGAGTAGAGAGACCGATCAGGGGTTTAGAGCACTTGCTACTCTTGTAGAGGACCTGTCAGCTCCCGGTCCCCATGTTGGGTGGCTCACAACCACCTGGAACCCCATCTCCAGGACACTGACATCCTCTTCTACCCTCTGCTGGCACCTGCACACACAGACCCATAATTTTCTAAAATCTGTTTTTTTGGATGTGTTTGTTTTTGTTTTGAGACAGGGTTTCTCTGTGTGGCCCTGGCTGTCCTGGAACTCACTCTGTAGACCAGGCTGGCCTCGAACTCAGAGATCCACCTGCCTCTGCCTCCCAAGTGCTGGGATTAAAGGTGTGCGACACTACTGCCCGGCATCTACTTCATGACCTTGAATACTACTTGGTGACAGTCTGTTTACTTATTTATTTATCATGGGATAAGGATTAAACCAGGGGCCTTTCACAGCTCTGCATATGCTCTACCACTGAGCTTTCTGGCCCCACCTGTGAGCTTATAGACAGATGAGGGTGCATAGGAGGCCAGAAGACAGTGTCAGATCCTCGGGCACTGGAGTTACAGGCTGTGCATCACTGTGTGTGTGCTGGGAGTTGAACCTGGGTCCTCTAGAAGGGTGGTTGGGGATTTGAACTCAGGTTCTCATGCTTGCCCAATGGACTGTTTATTGACTGAGCTCCCAGGGTTTTGTTTTGTTTTGTGTTTTTGAAAGTCTTGCTAGGTAGCCCAGGCTGGCCTTGATCTCAAGAGCCTGGTGCTTTAGCCTCCCTAGGAGTAGATCACTATATATTTACTTCTCCCAAGACCGGTCCTCTTACTATAAACTTGCTTATTTTCAGTTTTTAAAGATAATCTCATTTATCCCCACGTTGGCCTCAAACTCACTATGTAGCTGAGGATGATCTTGAACTTCTGACCCTCCTGTCTCCACCTCCAGTGTGCTGGGATTCAAACTCAGTGCTTCTTAGTGCATTGCTAAGAAAGCATTTTACCAGTTTAGCTACATTTCCACACAAGGGCTTACTCTGTAGCCCAGGCTGGCCTTGAACTGTAAGTGATTCTTCTGCCTCAGCCTGCTGAGTGCTGGGATTACAGACCTGAGTCACTGTGCCCATTACAGTCGTCCTCCATTTCTGGGATTCCCACCCGGGGTCTCCTGTTACCTTCAGCCTCAGGGGGCTGTCTCTCCACACAGCCGTCCCCACTGCAAGCCCCCTCCTCCTGGCTCCCCGCCCCCAAAGCTGTCCCTCCTGCAGGGGACCCACCTGAGATGAGGTGCTTCTCTGACAACATGATCTTGGTGACAGGACTGCGGTGCACACTGAAGGTCTGGAAGAGCTGGGGTCCGGAGCCCACAGTCTCAGGGTGCTGCACGATGACCCGCACGACCCCTGAGCTGGTGCCATAGGCAATCTCAATCCAGTTCCCACTGTCACCTAGGGAGAGGCCAACAACAAAGAAAGTCTGTCGTGGAAACAGAACCAGGGCCGAGAGGGTGAGAGACAGGAAGGGAAGGAAGCAGGTCGGGGAGACACGAGGGGGGAAGAGACAGAGACAGAGACAGAGAGACACACAGAGAGAATATGAGACCAAGAAGGAACACAGGTGCGACTGGAGAGATGGCTCCGTGATTGAGAGCCTTCGCTGCTCTTCCAGAGGACCTAGGTTCAATTCCCAGGACCCACATGGCAGCTCACAGCCACCTGGAACTCCTGTTCCAGATCTAGTCCCTAATGATGGACTCTTTGGGCACCAAGCATCTACACAGCATACTTACATACATGCAGCAAAATACTCACACCCCCCAAAAAACTAAATCTTTTTAAAAATTCCAGAATGACATGTAAATAGAGAAGAAGAAGAGCGCCCACCTCCCAGTGTCTAAGGGGCTTCACTGACAACTTTTCATTTTGAGATTCTCGAAACACTTTTCTCTTTTGGTTTTTCGAGACAGGGTTTCTCTGTGTAGTTTTGGAGCCTGTCCTGGAACTAGCTCTGTAGACCAGGCTAGCTTTGAACTCACAGAGATCCACCTGCCTCTGCCTCCCAAACGCTGAGATTAAAGGTGTGTGCCACCACCGCCCGGCGAAACTTTTTCTTTTTTTGAGACAGAGTCTCACTATGTAGCCTTGGAATTCAACATATGTAAATCAGGCTGGCTTAGAACTCACGGAGATTCCCCGCCTCTGCCTCCATGAGTGCTGGAGAGATTCTCAGAAACGAAACAGAGCACCGGAAAGAACCCAGGTAGGTAAAACATAGCGCCAGCATTTTGTCACAAGCAATGTACTTGTAACCCACATGGTAACATGGATAGATATTAAATCTAGGAGACAGAGAAGAACCGAGGTCTAGCCTGTGATTCCAGCACTCAGGAGGCTCAAGCAGAAGGACGGGGTGGTCTAGAGTTAGAGGCTAGCCTGCGCTACAGAGAAAGCTCCTGTCCTCCCCACAAAGGGGGAGGGGGATGAGGGGAATCAAGGATCCTTGAACATGGATTTATCTACTATCTGGCATGTATCCATTCTCTTGGTTTTATGAATTACGCAAATGTCATGTCCCGATGGGAGATGGGAAAGACACAAAAGTTAACTACAGCGGCTTGTCGTGGAGAGGCCAGCAGCACCTGAAAGAGGGCTAAACAGAAGCAGAGCAAAAGTACAAGCTGAAGAAATGAGAACCAATGTGCCCCCTTCCTGAGGAAAGCACGAGGCATGCCACACAAGCAGGGACAGAGCTCCAGGCCAGGTCTGGGGCTGGCCGGTGGCAGCAGCGATGGAGGCTTCCCCATAGCTTACTGGTCTTGGGGGTGAGGTAGACGCTGAGTGCAGTGACCCCATCCTCTGCCGGGTCTCGGTAGAGCTCACTGACGAGGAGGTCGTTGTCCTTCATCCGCAGGGGGAATTTCTGCACATCTAGGTGGTCAGGCAGAGGAGGGGCAGATTTGCTGGGGGCTCCCGCTCCAGCCCACCCCTCAGACTGCAGGAGGACACTGCTCACCTACGTAATAGATGGAGCCAGTGCTGCAGCCCAGAAGGAGGAAGGAGCCGGCTGCATCGTAACTGGTGATAGGCTGGACCTCCTGGACCTGGGGCGGGAAAGAGGCAGTAGTGTGGGACCCTCCTGGCATCCCTGCCTTTCTCCCACAGTGCCCATTTCTGTGTGCCCAGCCTGACCAGGGCCTGAGCCTCTCCCTTCCAGGCTTGCCCATTGCCCTCTGTGTCTACCTGTAACATCATGGCTGTCCCTGTAAGATCA